CCCCAAAACCCCAAAACCCCAAAACCCCAAAACCCCGGTTTATAGACTCTAGATTGGTACTTAATAAAGTTTTCATCCACTTATATAAATTAAAATAATAAGTATGAACTTCCACGATGAATATATCTGTGATGAAAATCTTTCAGAGGATCTTTTAAGTGAAGGGTCCCCTACTAGTTTGGTCAAAGTGTCAGAAAGACTCGACTTGAATATGAAAACGACTCCTTTTCATCTTTCGAGATCTAGGAAAGCTTTTTCAAACAGTTCAAAATGTGTTTGTCCTTCAAAGAAGTTGGGCACAAAATCAAAAGGAGCTTTCATGAAAGAGAAATTTTCTCGTGCTCAACCCAAATCTTTCAAAACCGAGGGAACTCTTCTAAAATTTGAAAAATGTCAAAAGAATGATGAGATAGACTCTCAGTCATCAAGCAAAATTTCTTTGAAAAGTGAAATTAGCACTCTTTTGAGAAAGTCAGCTCAGATACGTGCCAAAAACTTATTATCAAATCCAAAATCAAAAAAAGAGGCGCACAATTTAGAGCCAGAATCTTGAGTTAACAAGGAGGAGGGAGTCCTATATACCTTCGGAAATCTTTAATAATTTTGTACAAATTTCGTTCTAAAGATTGAAATACTATAAATGTCTCTCGCAAACTTTTTAATGTAAAAAGCATGATACTAATTTGAGCCAGCTGAAAACACTACACTTTGTTTGTCAATCATTGAGACCTGTTTTACCTGTCAATTAAATTTTTCCAAAAATTAGAAGTTTAAGTTATTAGTACAATAGAGAACTTGAGATTTCTTAGTGGACTCTTGTTAGGGATTGGTCAGCCTTAAAACACGAAAACCCAAAGTCTGTACTTAGATAAGGACAGTCAATACTTATCAAGGTTAATATCTCTTTCTTATACCTAAAAAAACAGAATCAGGGATGTTTACTAGTCATGTGTAAACCAAGTTTTTGGAATTTATTCCATTTTCTTTCTCAACATAAAATCTGTGGGTAATTAATACTACCCAGTTTTCACAAGGAGGCTCTTAAGCATAAAAATCATCAATATTGCTTTATTGCAACGATATATAATTATAGATGAAATTTGGTAGGCATAGATCTGGGTGTATTGGATTACTTTCCTGATCACTCAACTCAATTTTTCTCTAGTTCGTACTCCTGCTAGTTAAGAATATGAAGAGGCAAATAAGTGTTAGTAGAAACCACAGAGTGCTTTCTAGCTTGTTTCTTGGGGCATGTTCGGTAATTATGGGATTTCTATAGGTATTAGAAGCCTTCATGGCTTTGAATAGGTAGTAGTATATCGATTCTGACATGGAAATTGTTCGACTGGGCAGAAGACTGAGGTAGTAAGAGGGACAATACTTTAGGATAATTTTTTAATAAAAATAAGAATGGTGATGGCAACTGATAGATTATTAGTAGTTTTGTATGCTCGAGAGAAATGACAGGCATACTCCATTAATAAGCCTTTCTTCTTTGATGAGAATTGTTTGAATTATAATTTAAAATATAGACTATAATTTCAATAATTTTGGTTTTTCTTAAATTTTCAATTGTTTCAGGCAAACATTGCAAAACTAATTGATAGAATTAACTTGGTTTAAAAATTTTGCGAGCATTTAACTCACATGTTTTTCGCTCGCAAAGCTTCTAGAAATTTCTAAAATAATAACCCAACTTACTATTAACTGTGGTTTGGTCAGAATGCTAATTTGACATAGAAATAAGGTTTATGAATAACTTGAGTACCTAATCTTCAAAATCTTGAAATTATTCCCTGTTGGTTAATATTACTACATTAACAGATACATAATTAAGCAAAAAAGGACGGATACAGATGATACAAGATATAAAACCTCGTATGCAGATTTTTCTAAATTAGCTAAATTCCCTTCAATGATTCATTTGGCAAGTTTAGACTGGGCCTAAGACAAGTGAATAACTTTAACTTTTCAATCATGTCCATCCTCTCTGGGGTTTTGGGGTTTTGGGGTTTTGGGG